GTCAAAGTTTCACACTTCTCTGGCCATTATCTCCATAACCGTTAAACTTTGGACATAGGTGTTTTGGGGTATATCAGCATACTTTAACATAAGGAACACCCTCCCGAAGTTTGGCACATTCCTCCTGGGACACCCTGTATATACAGTATACCCTCGCTAATCCGGTTGCAGTTAATCCAAATCAAAAGATGAAAAATTCTGTTCACAGTTGAGTACATATGTCAAAAATACACATGACATTTAAGAAGGCAGGCGAGTCACTTGTCTGTTTAAACAAAACTAGACAGTTTCTTCAAACCTGCATTATGTTCACAAACAAGTACAACTTCTGAGTCTCCTATCGACATATAAATGTACTGTCTTTGTACCATTTTTTAATAAAGGTCCTAAAGTAATTGCTTTTAGTTATTTTCATTGGCACTACTTATATCATTCAATTTTCCATTTATTTGTGTTCTGAGTTTTTTGGGTTACCTTTTGCTTCAGTGGTACAGATTATTGCTTAATATTGACAACCTCTCTCTCCAGTTAACTTGGATTAGCGAGAATTTACTGTACTTAAAGATTTAATAAATAAAGTGAAGAAAATGTAAGTTTTGAGGTTTTCACAGCGATGACAATGAAGAAAGTTGTCTTCTGGGTTTAGGCACCGTGTATTCTTCGTTTTGGCCGACGTTTCGGAGGAACGTAGCGCCTCCATCTTCAGAGCAGTTGAATAGCTGCGGAGAGCAGTAGCTGTGGTGATAGGATGTGGAAGGTGCTGCTTATATACGAAGTAGGCAGGGGGGGTGGTTAGGGAGAACGGACCAATGGGAGCAGTGGAGAGCGATTAAGGCCATATATGGTGTGTGACTAAGGGCGAGGGGGAACGGCCAGTGAGTACAGGAAACTTGAGGTCAATAGCACTAGGAAGTGCGGTAGTCAAAACCGGTAGGTTGAGGACAGGCTATTGACGTCAATGACATGACGAAGAACTGGTGTGGCTTGTAGGATTCTCTTGAGGGAAAGGATGTTTCACGTCTGTCGAGATTGTTGAGAGCGATAAAGGCCATATGATGTGCACTAAATAGGGGGCAGGGGGACGGCCAGTAAATCCAGAAACATGAGGTCAATAGCACTAAGAAGTGCGGTAGGCAAGAAGAACAGTTGGTTGGGGACAGGCTACTGACGTCAATGACATGATACCGGGGGACAGGCTACTGACGTCAATGACATGGCGAAGAATTGGAGTGGCTTGTATTTCTCTTGAGGCAAGAGATGAGTGGCTTCCATGACTTGTTGAGACTGAACCCTGTTTCCTTGTTCATGTTGTTCGGATGGAGCTCAATCTCAACGGCCTCCAGGATTATGCGATCTAGATAACGGCTTTTACTGGTGATTATGGCCGTTTTGTGAAACTCGATACGGTGGTCACATCATATGGTCTTTATCGCTCTCAACAATCTCGACAGACATGAAACATCCTTTCCCTCAAGAGAATCCTACTAGCCACACCAGTTCTTCGTCATGTCATTGACGTCAATAGCCTGTCCTCAACCTACCGGTTTTTCTTGACTACCGCACTTCCTAGTGCTATTGACCTCAAGTTTCCTGTACTCACTGGCCGTTCCCCCTCTCCCTTAGTCACACACCATATATGGCCTTAATCGCTCTCCACTGCTCCCATTGGTCCGTTCTCCCTAACCACCCCCCCTGCCTACTTCGTATATAAGCAGCACCTTCCACATCCTATCACCACAGCTACTGCTCTCCGCAGCTATTCAACTGCTCTGAAGATGGAGGCGCTACGTTCCTCCGAAACATCGGCCAAAACGAAGAATACACGGTGCCTAAACCCAGAAGACAACTTTCTTCAAAGTGAAGAAAACATGAACACAAACTACAGCAACAATTTAACTAACCACTCACATGAAAATAAGAGCACCTAAGTTCCTGACATGCACTAACATATCAATACTAAAAAGGAACATCTTTAAGCCGTCATTCACTGCAAACTGTCTTGTGAACAGTGTCTCTACGAAAGTGAAAAGATTCTGAGAAATTCCACATGAATTACCACTGATGCAAACAACTTATGCCACCTACAGTCCATTGGCGGAGACAAGAGAGTCCTCGTAAACAAATGCACGCGGTATCTCCTTCGCTCTATGAATGAAATCATGCAGCGATCACGTGATGCGTGTACAATTGCAGGGGCGTCCAAAGTTCACTCTTCAGTCTGAATGCAGGTTAACGTGTGTCCGAATGCAGTGAGTACACTGAAGTAACTGCGCGCTTTGTCCACTCCTTGCTGCCAGGTGTGGCGATGCGGGGCTTGCTTTGTTTATGCTAACTGTCTCGTCTCCCCGAATGGACTATAGTGGAAACTGGTATAACTATATGTACAGGAAGGAACAGTCATGAACAAAACATGAAAATACTTGCTGCAAGTATCTTGTACATGTGAGTTGGTTATGGGATGAATGGTGCTGCCTGCAGATACAGACAAATCAGTTATGTGGTTAACAAGATATTGTGAAACTGCCTTTACCTAATGATTTAACCTTGCATAAATGAGGACTGATGACATAGTACTTACTTCTGTACAACATGCTTCTTCTTTTCAAACTGATCAGATTCTTTGTTGAAGTCAAAACCATTAAACTTGCGGAGATTCTTTTTAATCATTGTAGTTTTGCCAACACGACCAAAGAGAACTCTGTGAAGGGTTTTAAGTTCATCTGACTTGTATCTCTGCAACACATAACCAGAGAGTACTAATTAAAACATACAATGAATATTCAGGATAAATCTCACACAAAAGAATGGAAAGAAATGAAATTATGGAAACGAAGCTGCTAATTAAGGATGGTGGCTGACGCCAGTCTGAATTCTAACATTCTGCTTCCAAGTCTGCATGATACAAGGAAAAATATTTACATTACATTTAGCCAAGAAGTTTTCAATTATGAATGACTTAGGCAATTCTGAAGTGTAACTTCATCTTTCTAAGCCTGTATGGTGCAAGGTCTAAAAAACCCCCAAAACAATTTCTTATTTTTGTGTCTGTACATGTGGCAAGTAGCAGCATAGGTAGTTTAGGCAATATGTCACAAACCAGATGGTCACAGGCTTATTCCCGATGACATCCATGGATTTTTCAATTGACCTAATCCTTCCAGCCTCACTATGGCCCTGGGGTCGACTCAGCCTTTCTAACAGAAATGAGTACCAGGAATCTTCCTTGGGATAAAGGGAGGCCAGTGCATATGGCTCACTTCATTGCCATCCGTGTGCTGATTGTCTAGAATATGTAGGAGCCTTGATGTTTCACAACCCCACGGGCCACCATGGCCTGTTACAGGGATAGCTTTACCTTTTTCTTTAATGTGTGGCCAGAGTACACATGTGGGGAGATGCCAATTTCTTCTGGCCTCGAATGGCAAGTCAACCCCCACTATGTGACAAACAAGGGTTAGTTCTAAGATAAATAATGGTGTAATCAGTATCATTAGGGAGGTGACAAATGCTAAGAGTCAATCTGTCAATTATCAAAGAAAGTAAAATTGTTTTGGGGGTAGGCACTGCAGATCATTCAGTGGTCCCTGCTGTGTAACTTCTGATTTTATCTTATGTCTCAATGAAATTCATGAAAGAAACCAACGATTTCCATTTAACAAACCCCACACCTGATTGTTATCTGAACAAGAAAGAAGTCACTTGACAAGACCCACCCTAATACTCACTTGTAGAACAGCATCAATGCGAGGAATATCTCCTAGTGCACTACCCTTTCCTTCTGGAATTTCAATGACAATGGCATCTTTAGGTTCAGACTTAAATTCTTCAGTAAATCGCTGGACCTTTTTCCTCTCTCGAGTGCCAGAAAGCTGAAGAGGCTGATCCAATAAAGGAACTGTGACCAAATTAACAAATAAGATATTACTAAGATTTCCAATCAGAATTAATGAGCTCATGTTCACACCAGTATTTAACTCTTTGTGAGCCACATACCAACCAGTCAGCTCATGGTACCTGTATTAACCACCACAGTTGAACATCAGGTCTTTGATATTCAAATGGTATAGTATTTGTCGATGGCATAAAGTGTGACATCAATGTCTAGAGGAAAGAATGGACTTTCACATGGTATTTACCTGTCATTAGGTTGCTTGAGCAATGTACTGTGGGTGTTTCGGTGCAACAGCATTTACCCCCAAGCTGCTTTAGCATTTCTGGCAGGGAAGTTTCATCTTATACAGAGGTAACACCAAAATACAGAGAGAAGTACAACTGCAAACACTCTAAAATAGCTTCATGAAGTTGTACCAGAAGTATTCCTCAATTAAAAATACTTGATTAAATGTAACCCACACCAATTACTGTAAAAGACTAAAACAAAACACAGCCATCATTTTACTTGGCTCTGAGTCACCCACACTGTGCATTAACTCTTTGAGCAAGGGAGTTTCATCATCTGTCCAGGCCACATAAAGCAAATCATTTTCAGAAATAACACCTTTAATGTAGTCTATTTACATATATAATGCCTATGAATCAATTCTGCATGCAACAAATAATTCACAAATGGATGAAGTTTTCTTTAACTGCAAATTACCCCAGAATGAAGGATGAGAAACGCCAATTAATTATATATAACTAAACTAAACTGATCAAAATGTACATAATTGGATTTCCCAGCAGCATACAGACTGATGCTCACAACACATATACAAATAATCAGGTGTAATCTAATCAAACAAGAGATGTGTATGGAAGTGATGAATGAAGAAGCCAAAACTAAAATCATACTCTGCAAATTTCTGTTGGATCATTTCCTGCAAGTTCTTGCAGAACTGTTCCCAATGTACATGGAGCCACATGAGCCTATGCCCCTCCCCCAGCACAAAACACACATCTAAGTGTATGAACAAGCAATCTGCTATTAGAAAATTTTGTCTAAAAACCAGGGCATGAATACCATCCAAAAATTAATTTTCTCGCCACTTTCTTTCATAAAATTCAAATGCTGAGAGATTTGACAACTGTATCAGACTGTAACTTGGTCTCACATTTGGTAAAAGACTCAATAAAAACACTGAAAAATATTGCTAAAAAATCTTCATGAAACAGGCTGTATATGGGCTTGTAAAAGGTAAACTTATCCATGTGCTTAATTAGTTAAGCACTATGCCATAAAGACATATGGGGGAGTGGAGGTATAGCTCCACTTTTCTTAACCATGGCACTAAATGGAGATGAGTGGTCAGCTTCATGTCCCTGCCACTTTACTGACAGGGAAAGGGCCCATGGTACCCACAGAAGAGGGTGGGTGGACTCCAGAGTCAGTCTGGATGCTGTGGAGTGAAAAACCTTGCACTGCTGGATACTGAGCCTGGGCCATCCAGCCCATAGCCCATCACTATACCTACTCCTTATATGGGGAAAAAATAAAACTCTCAAACTCTATGCCACAATGTTAGATACATTACTGCATTCACCTCCTAGGTAGGACATCCCCACAGGATGTGTGGAATGGTAAGGGGAGGTCAGTGATTACAAACAGGCACCAGGTCACCTCTTAACAGACAGCTGTAATATGAGTGTGACAAACACATAGATGCATAACCATACCTCCTCACCTCTGCTGCAGATGTGGGAGAAACATCACACTTTCATAGCTCGTTTTATGGCTCGCAGTTTACTGTCAAATCACCTTGCATGACAAAACAGCATGAAGACAAGTGCAACATTACTACCTAAGGTTAAATTTCTGAGTAGAATGGCTCCTGTCATGGCAACATCAGTGACCTGTTCCTGGCAAACCTATAAGAGGTTACTCAACAAACTAGTGTGACATGACAATGGCACAGTTTACCAAGAGAAACCATCTCCTACTATGCAATGACAAAGCAAACATGTTTCTGTAGCAATGAACACATGAAGCTACAACAGAGACCTGCTGGAAGTGGTGTTTTCTATGCACTCTATGCCAAGGTTACGTAAGGACGACTGGAGGTTTTAGTGAGCTGAGAATGCAAGACAGTTGCAGTAAAGAATAGAGAGTTCAAGCTCCCATCATGGGTCAAGTGCCAAAGAGTTGCCGGCCACCGAGAAGTGAAACTGTTGAACATGGAAGCTGAGCCCTAACAATGCCTAGTGAAGATGAACTGGGAAGAATTAGCAGGTGCTACACTGAATTGTAAAATGTGTAGATTACTGACAGTGTCATAATTACTTGTAGTTACAAGTTATAAATGTTCAATAAATGCAATTACCAATCCAAACACTGCATCTAGTCACTAACACATGACAACTAAGTCAGAAGTGTTCATGACTAGACAGAGGGTTTGGATTGGTAACCGGATTTCTTGAACACTTGTAACTACAGATAATTATAACGCTTGCCAATATACACACTTTACAATTCACTATAACACATGCTAATTCTTCTAAGTCCGTCTTCAATACCTGTTGCTTGGTTACAGCTCAGCTTCCATGTTCAACTGTTCCTGTCCTCGCTGGGTGGTGACTTTCTCAGAAATAACCTGCGATGTCACTGTGAAACCTCTCTACTCTGCTGTAACTGTCTTGCATTCTAAACTCAATAAGAACTCTAGTTGGATCTCCTTATACAGACTTGACACGGATCACAAATAAAACACCGCTTCTAACAGTTCTCTACTGTGGTGTCATGTGTTCATTGCCATGGAAACGTCTGCTTTTACCGGTTCTCACGGTCTCTTTGCTTGCAGATTTCTTATATATTTTTTCTTCTACCCTGAAGATGGAGGCGATACGTTCCTCCGAAACGTTGGTAAACACATACATATATATATACATACATATACATTTGCGTTTCAGATTATTCACAAATGTGCACAGGCACAGAATATAAAACATATATACATATACACGGTGCAAAAACCCAGAAGACTGCTTTCTTCATAGTCACCGCCGTGAAAGCCTCAAATCTTACATGTTTAGTTTGCCTTTGCCTAGCAGTGGATGGCTCCTCTTGTTAAACTACACAAACGTATCACAATACAATAGTCATCAGTGCCTCATGTAGGTGGAAAACTTGCTGCAGAATCTCCAAAATCACTGCATGGTCTGGTGCATGCCCTTGGAGACCCTGCAAGGTACTTACAGGGTCTATGCAAAGACCCTGTAATACATGAAGACAAATTCAGTTCATCCTTGAACAAGCAACACATCGATATAAACTACTGTGTAGTCTGGATAAATAAAGGTGAACTTGGCAATGAGCTGGTGGTATGTGAAGACAGATGTTTCACCTCTCATGTCTCTGGTGAGTTGAAAGTAAGATATATAAGAGACCAAGGTGTGGCACAAGAGGCTGTACTAAGAACAATACACAGTACATGGATGTCAAGATACTTGAGAAGGTGGCAAAAATGTAAACTCACATGTCAAGAGGCAATAATATTCAATTCATACTTAATGGGGTGGGAGGGACAAAAGACTGCATTGACAGCATCACTGCATTACAGCAGAGTAGATTCCTATAGAGGGAGAATGCAGGTTTTCCTGATTCTGCATACTCCTATGCTCTCAAATGGACTAGTACAGAAGGCACCAGTGGCAAGACAAACTCCATGTCATGGCCAGGGTTCACAATGGACAATTTAATTTTTTTTATTGCTAGTGGGGTGGGACTAGGTCCTTTGTACTGCGGACACTTCTGTCCTATTGTACCAGCCCCAGATGATAGGTGAGGGTGATTGTGGAGCAACTGGTGGAATGAAGATTGGCAGGGGAAACCAAAGTACTTGGAGAAAACCTGCCCCAGCTCCACTTTGTCCACCACAAATCCCACTTGACCAGACCCGGGATCGAACCCGGGCCTCCGCGGTGGGAATCCAGTGACTAACTGCTTCAGCTATGGCACGGCCCAATTTAAAATTTACTGTGAAGCCATAAATGAAACTCTCATAATCCATCTTGGAGTGATCACTTGAGGTACCATCATCTGGTCTCCACCCCAAGATCTACTGGATAAAACTTTTAAAATATTAAGTTTATGTGAGGTTGTTGTTAAGTGAAGTTCTCTTGACAGTTTGGTGTCAAGAGAAACTTGATGGTACAAATAGCAGTGCAATGTTATAGAAAAACACATTGAGGGGATGACATAAAACCCTCAACATAGAAGTATGCATACTGGGGCTTTGCTGCTGAGAAGGCAAATCCATTACACACAATCCAGTGTGCTAGATGATTGACGGTGATCAAACAACACTCTGAAAACTGTAATATATTACAATACCATCAACATACAGAGATGGTGTAACAGATGGACTAACTGAGCTGCCCATCTTATTGACAGCAAACAGAATCACACTTAGAACCAGCCTTTTGGCATATTTTCTTGTGGAAAGCAGAAGAGACTTTGCTGAGATGAATAGGCAGGTGATGATCCCAGAGATGATATGACATGAACAGTGTCAGCTGACCGTTAAGATTCCACAGGAAAGATGTCCTGAGATACCACACTGGCACAAACTGGCAAGTCTACAACTAGCTGTAAGGGAGTGGCCCTGACCAGGTTTCAGGATGGGGATGGCTGTAGCTTCTCTCCAGGCAGATAGGGAGTTCTCTGACCACATATAACTGCATATGGACAGTGGAAAATTCCATGCCTATGTGTTGAAGATGGGACAGCATCAGGTTATGGACACTGTTAGGGCCTGGGGATATACTGTAACAGGTATCTAGTGCTGCTAGAACTGCTGAACTCTGCATTATATGGCTCTGTGAGTATGTTGGCGAAGTTCAGAGGCAGTGCTTCTTTGTTGTCTTTTAAAAGAAGAGGATCACAGAAAAACTAGAAGGAAAATATCTTCCTAGTGAACTGGCAATGTCTACCGTTGCAACAGTAATAGATCTGACTCCTAT